TTACTCTCAAATGGCTAAAGGTTTTAAAAAAACTTCTTTGTATTGTACTTGGGACTTAAGCAGGATGGGTGTCTGCAACTTAATGGTTCAGAGGAAGAAAGTTCTTTGTATTCTACTTGGAACTTTTCTGAAAGTTTGAAATTGTTTTAAAAAAAGAAAAAGATTATCTACAATATTCATTTATAGTACCTAAAATTAGCATATAAGTAAAATGGTACTTATGAAGTACCTCCAAATGAAGAATATGTGTTTGCACCTCTTCTTATTGTAAGTAAAGACTCTGCTTTATTATTTATGGGATTCTCAATGACCCACTATATATACCCACTGTCGAATACAGTAACCACTATTTTGTTCCTCGGTCCCACTGGCCATATTTCAAATGCTCAACAGCCACATTAGCTACTGTATTGGCAGCAGACACACAGTATTTCTATCATCACAGAAAAGTCTACTACTAGACAGCACTGACCTAGAGTTTGAGAGGCCAACTAATATAATGAGTAACTAAAGGCCCAAGAGTCAGATGGAGTGGAGTCATTAAACTTCTCTAGAGCTTCAGACTCCTTTCTGTAAAATGGATTAATACACCCAACATTTCAAGGCTACTGAAAAGATCAAACGAAAATTTATGTAAAATGTCTAAAACAGAGTGACTGGCACATAGCAAATATTTGAGAAACATTAGGTATCTTCTGTAATGTGGGCAGATAATTTCTTAACCTTTGATATCAGTACTTTTACATCTAGTCAAGCAATTACAGGAGCATCAGTTTGAAAATAAGAAGCTTACTATCCGGCTTATTAAAAAGGCCAATGAGCTTCATATTGTTAAATTCAATGAAAAATCTTAAGCTCTTACATTACTCAACTCTCATCAACACTTGACCCTACTGATTACTCTCCCCTTGAAATACTCTCTTCCTTTGGTTTCTACAATACCACACTCAACTCATACTTCTTTGACCTTCACAGTATTCTTTGGGAGCTTACATTCCTTCCTCAAACTTTTTATATTAGGGGCCACTGTGGTGACATTCTAGTTATATTGCCTCCCTTAGACAATTGATTCCACCTATAGTTTCAACTACCTATATAAATGACTTCAATTTTCTATTTCCAGCTGATACCTCTCTTCTGAAATTTAGAACCATATTATCTAACTGCCTATAAAAATTTCCATCTGAAAGTTCCAGAGGTTCCTTAAATACAGTATGTCAGAATCAAAAGAACCTTGGTCCTTATGTGGTATCACCTTCCACCCAGCTGTTTACCTCTGAAATTTCTATCTCCCTCACTTTGGATCCATCAACAGAGGCCTGGTGACTACAAATTTCATTCACTTTTGCCCACCTCCAAATCAAGCTATCCTCATCTCTTCTGGACACTACTATAAGAGTCTTAACTAATTTTCCCACATCCACTCTTGCTGCTTCTCCTCCCTTTCAAAACCCATCACCATAATCATAATTCTGCTTTCTGTAACTACCAAAAATAAGTATAATTTGGCTTCTAAAAGACAGCATTTTAAACAGTAAGATAGTTATACCACTCTACCCTTAGCTAAGTATTCTTAGTTCCTTCTATACCCTGATAAATCAGTTCTAAGGTCACATTCTGTCATCCTCTACTTTAAAAATATGTCCCCTGATCTGAACGTAAATCATGGATAAAAGTAACTTAGCAGTTTATGCAAAAGACTGCATAAAGTTTCAAACCACAATTACTATTTTTATTGCTTTAATGTCTCCAGCTGAAAGCAGGTTAATCTATTAAATATTTACTAAGCACCTACTATGTGCCAGGCATTGTTCAGGTGTTTGGGGACAAAACAATGACCCAAAGTGACAAATCCCCTGTTCTCACAGAACTTGCATTAAAGCGAAGAAATACAATATATTTAAGATAATAAATTATACAGTATATTAGAAATTGATAAATGCTATGCAGAAAATCTGGCTTAAAAAGTGGTAGGAAACATGGGAAGGTCTGCTGTCTTACAGAGTAGTCAGAGAAAACTCTCAGTAGCATAGTGGAAGGTGACTGGACAAAGTGAGGTAATCAAATCAGAGAGGAAGAGGAGACGCGAAACACTCAGAGCCTAGTAGACCGTAAGTACTATGCATTTTACTATGACTGAGAAGGGAAGCCATTTGAAAAGAGAAGTGACATGATTTGACAAGTTTCATCAGGATCACTCTGGCTGTTGAGTGTTAAACATCATAGGTAAACAGAAGTCATAGTGAGACTTTTGGAAACTATTTTGCAAGTGAGAGATGATGGTGTTGTTTTTATATTTGTAAAACTTTATGTACCTAAGTACTAGAAAGAACAAAGTCACAACTTTAAAAAAAGACAACAATGATAACACAAAGATGAATCTTGGGAACACCAAGATTTTAACTCTGAGCTCTACTCAGTACTAATACCAGTTAGTACAATTCAGATGCAAGATAAGGTGCAAAGCTATTCACTTATTCTTTCGGACAGAGACCATAATTAACAATTTAGGTTTTGAGCCTCTTTATTTCACTGAGCTAGGTAAGTCAAGATCCAATCTACATCACTACAACACCAGGATAGATGGTGGCAGAGCTTCCCAATGGGAAGTTCCAATGAAAATTATTCTAAGGTTGACTCTTTTTATTACCTCTGCATATGCGAGTCTCTTTAGTTAGGTTTTACAACCATCTCTCACTGGTGTACCTAAAAAGTTCAGTAATAAGTCAATGAGTAGTATAATACTGTACTCTCCTCCTACTAAAACATGCTACTAATGGTGAATCAACAACATCATGTAACTGCACTGTTTCATCCTATCTCTAGTTAATAGCACAGCTTTTCAGGAAAAATGCCTAGCCACACTGCCTCGTGCCCAAAAAATAATGCGGAAGCTGAGTGACCCCTGAAAAATTTCGATTTTAACTCATGGACTCCAGTAACAGCACATAAAGATGTATCCCAAAAATCACCCTTAAGATTTTCTCCATGACACGTTTCAGGCAGCATATTTACAAACAATTTTCTATTCTTTTCTACATTTTATACCCTCATGACATACTGAACAATGTTTTTGCAGTGTGAGTACACAAGGAGTAAGCAAACGACCAAATCTTAGCCCACCAAAAATCTTAAAATGTACTCAAATTCTCTGGTAAAAAGGTCACCATCTGAAGTAAAACTGAATGATTAGAAACATATTTGCAAGCACTGAAAAATATTACAATGAAAAAGCGGCAGCTACAGTAAGAATTACAAATTTAAAAACCCATATTGTGGGGCGCCTGGGTGGCGCAGTCGGTTAAGCGTCCGACTTCAGCCAGGTCACGATCTCGCGGTCCGTGAGTTCGAGCCCCGCGTCAGGCTCTGGGCTGATGGCTCAGAACCTGGAGCCTGTTTCCGATTCTGTGTCTCCCTCTCTCTGCCCCTCCCCCGTTCATGCTCTGTCTCTCTCTGTCCCAAAAATAAATAAACGTTGAAAAAAAATTAAAAAAAAAAAAATAAATAAAATAAAAAATAAAAACCCATATTGCATAAACACAATACGAAGTAGATTCAGATTATCCTTAAGAGAATAAAACAAAAAAAATCCAAAGACAATTTCAGAATTTCATCTGCCCAATAAAACAACAAAAAAATAAAAGTCCCACAAGCTTTTTACTGCAGCTCTTAACCAATAGCAAAGAGGTGAGATGATTAAGCTAACTGCCAAAGATATAGGAAGAAGAAAGCAATGGTCTGGAAAGAGACTTGATTCTTATCAAAATTTTAATACAATTACCAATAAAATTCAAAAACAGCAATTATTTAAGAATGTTTTGCCTTCAATATTCTGCTGAGGTAAGCAGTCCTATGCTTGAGTTAACTTTTAAAATGAAAATTACATCTATTAATATGCTTTTTCCGTAACTCAATGAAAATTCACAAACTGGGAAAATTTAACATCAGCATCTACCAGCCAAACATTAAAAACTTTTCGATCAGTTTTGCTTAAAGATCTCAGTTCACTGTTGGTATGATAAAAGATGTTAATTAAAACGTAATCCAATATTAATGATAATCACTCAACTCGTAGACGCTGACAGAAATATGCTACAGAAATACGCTGGGGGTATTTTACAATTCACAACATTTGAATCTCTGAGTGTTTTCATCAACTACTTAAACCAGGGGTTTACTTTTAAAACAATTTTTCAAAATGCGTATGGGTGCGAAGACAGCCAGCAATCTGTAAGAAACGTCTTTGATGGTTCAAAATTCCTAGGTGAGACGAGGAGCGACTCATTAAGCTAAGTTTAGATCCGGCCCTTTTGTGGTCAGCCCAGGAAAAGGGTTTAAAAATTGTGGGGGCGGGGGGGGGGGGCAACAGTTCGAAATTCAGGACGTGGGGTAAACGCCGATGCCTAGCAGCACCAGCTCTTCCCTATTCGCGCACTGAGAGGTCACGACGTAGTAAAGTTTGGTTTCACAAGCGGGCTTGGACACTATTGACAAAAGCAAAGTCTTCCAAGTAAAGCGAACTTGGGGGTCGGAGAGCGCCCGGAAGCCCAGCCAGACACGTTTCCACTGCAGGGAGGGGGTGCCTGTGTGGCGACTCGGTCGTGGAACCTCTAGCCTCAACACCCCCCCCCCCCACCGGACCCCGCACCCGGCAGGGGACAAGCTTCGCCGGCTGAAGCGGCGGGGAGGCGGGTAGGCCACAAGGAGGAAATGGGACAGAGTGTCGACTGTGAGGCGGCGGCGGCCGAAGCGGGGCCTCCCTCGCGGGGTAGCGAGAAGGAAGGGGGGCCCTCCCCGCCGCAGCTTCCCCTGCCTCGAGAGGCAGCTCCAACTTTCCTCCAAGCGCAGAACGCCGCCTGGGCCGCGCGCGATTCCGAAACTTTGTCCGCCCTCCTGTCGCCCCGGGCCCGCTCCTCCGCTCTGCGCCGGCCCGTAACAGCCCCCACTTCGCCCGGACAGCCGCCTGAGCCCATCCGCCCCCGGGGTCGGCCCGTGTTTACCTCAGGCCGAGGTCGAGGCGCTTGCTCCGGCGGCGGCGGCGGCGGCCCCACTGCAGGTCCCTAGGTCCCCGTCACGACGCCAAGTTCCCCAACATGGACTCCTTCGTCCGCTTTGAGTTGTTCCGGGGGCCGCTGGAGCGCCGGCTCTACCGGCCGGGTCGAGAGGTGGCGGCGGAGCAAGGAGCGGACCCGGGCTGCGCTGCTCCGCGCGACTTGCGCCACCGCTGCTCCCCCTCCCCCCGCCTTGTCTGGCCTCCTCCCTCCCCTCCCCGCGTGTGCCCTCCCCCTTTCTCCCCCTTCGCTCCGCTCCGCTCAGCCGCGCCGCCACATGTCGGCGCGCTACGGTGACGACGGCGGCAGCAGCACCCGCAGCCCTCTCCCTACTCGCTTGTTGGGCCCTGCGCGTACCGCTGCAGCGCTCAACCGGACCACTGGGGGGCGCTGGCAAACCACCCTTAGCGACGAGGAACGTGGCGGGCGGAGTGACGTCACGCGGCCTGTGAGCGGGAGGGAGGACGGCAGCGAGTGGCGCGGGCTTCTGGGAAACGTCTTCCGCAGGCTGTCATCCTCCCACTCCGCGGACTCTGCGCAGGCGCAGTGTATAAGGCGCTCGAGTTGGCGCTGCTTTGGCGGCGCAGTCGGCTAAGACGCCGTGGACAATGAAGGAAGCCCTTGGGGACCTGGACGTGAGATGGTTTGCGTGGCTTTTGCTACCCTATCTTTCTGGTAATCTGATATTGAAGAATGCTATTATGTTGTTTGGCGGTGGATTGAGTTTTCACCCAGCACCGTTGCCCACCTGAAATACATCCTACAGAGAGGTTGAAGTGTCCCTAATTTGTAAACCCAACTCTTTTTTCGTCCTGGCGGGCATTTAAAAAATGCCTAGGGGAAAGGTTCTCCCTGTGGCTCATCGAGCCTAGGATATCCCCTTATCTTAATTCCCACAACGAAAAATTAAAAACTTGATTGTGAATAGAGGACCTCCACTTTGTGGTCAATGACTTGATCATTCAATAATTTGTCGGGACCTGCGACGTGGAACATGTGTGCCTTATTTCCCGTCGGGTCGTTAGATCTTAGGTTTTACTTCAGAAACACCTTTACACTTTTTCAAAGCCACTGACTTCAACCTCGTAGTTTGGCGTACAGTTTCTACACGCCCCTGACTGCTCTTCCCGCGCCGGCATCCACCCCTCTTCTTCCAGGTGGCCCTTCCAGTCCGGGGCCCCCGCCGTCGTCCAGCTAACAGCTCCCGCGGGAGGCGGCCAACCTGGTTTACCCCAGGTCCCAGTCACATCCAGCCTTGCGGCTCGCATCTTTCCCTGCTGCCAGCCCCCTTCCCTTTCTGTGCGCAGTGCGCTTCCCTAACCACGCCAAGCCTTGCCCAGAATGACAATCCTCCCCGCTTTCTCGATGCCCCGCCGGCTGGCCACTTCGTCGCCCTCGCCCAAACCAGGCCGGTTGCCGTGTCCTCCCCACCCCCCAGCTCCTCGTACTGTGAGGTCGCTTCTATAGCACCGTCATCCTATGCATCGTGTTCGGTCTGCTCCGTGTCTGCCCCACACTGCCAATGTCTTACCACTTTCACAACAGCTCCTGGCACAGTGCCTGTCACTCGGTAAGAACTTGGTAAATATTGCTGGAGGAATATATGAATAGCAGCCTTGTGTCTGTTTCAAAGTCTTTGGAGTTTTACAATGATACAAGGTTTGGAGATTTTGATGGGCTTCGCTGTTTGAAAAATTTGAGGGAACCATGATCTAGAGGAGTTAAAATGGTTTTTTCTGATGGTAGAACAAAATTTTTATCAAACGCCTTTCCCTGTCACTATTCTACAAGCACTGTAATGAGCCATCCAACAGAATTAGGGTGTAGCTTTGTCACGTACACATGCACATCTTCAACCGAGAGAATGCGACCCCCCCAGGAGTGTAACTTCAGATGGAGACTAATGGGGCAACATTCTTCTGTAGGTATTTTATGAAAATATATTTATTTGTTAAGAAAGTGTTCATCCGTAAGTTTAATTAAAGGTTAAATGATAATATCTGCCAATAGAAAACTATTAAAAAAAAACAATAGCACTATACCATTTCAGCAAAACTAAGCAATATGAATTGGTTTTTTTTTTTCCCCTCCTGGGGCCATTTCCTCTTTATCATTTTATTTTCATCATGATAAGTGTACTCATTAATCCCTACCCACCTCCCCTCTGGTAACAATCAGTGCTCTATACTTAAGAGTCTGTTTCTTGGTTTGTCTCTTTCTCTATGTTCTTTTGTTTTGTGTCTTAAATTCTACATTTGAATGATATCAAATGGTCTGTCTTTCTCTGACTTATTTCATTCTTTTTTATGGTTGAATAATATTCCATCGTACATATATATATACCACACTTTATCCACTCATCCAGCAGTGGACACTTAGGCTACTTCCATAGTTTGGCAATGGTAATGATGCTGCAGTAAACATAGGGGTGCATTTATCCCTTTAAATTAGTGTTTTTGTATTTTGGGGGTAAATACCCAGTAGTGCAATTCCTGGATCGTAGGGTAGTTCCATTTTTAATTTTTTGAGTAAGCGCCATACTGAACAACATGAATCTTTTGATCTATTTATTCTCTAGCAGATAATTAATTTCCACTTTTTTACAGTTGGCTTCAGGTATTATGTAAGCATGTTTTAAGAGAAAAATGCTCTTAATGCTAATGCACGAGTGGTTTCTACTTTCATGTGCAAACGGAAAAGAGGGTGGTTGTTTGTAATAGGCTATCTCTTGCCTCCCCAGGGAGAAGACTATGTGTATTTCTGTACATACAGCATCCTCCTAATTATGTTTGCATGTGACAATTTGTTACTCTCTCTGTGGTTCCAATACTTTTTATTTACGATATAATAAAGAGATATGGAGTTTTAAATAAATGATAAACTGTAAAATGCAAGAGTAAAGATTGATATACCAACCATCACTGTCAACATTTAAAATTTGATTATAACCATAAATTACAGAAATGATACGCATCATAAAACAACCTTCAACTGAATGCCCAAATGGCTTGTTGTATTTTACCTGGCACTTAAAATATCAAACATGTCCCACAGCAACAGAAACCCATACTGGCATCTTTAAAAATAAAGGGTAATCAGTGTATTGATTTTGACAGAGCATTACCAGAGATAACTGCTATAATTAATTTTACTACTATAAGTTGAATGCAAAATAAAATTGAAATTAAGAAGTAGAATCACTGTGTAAAGACACTGAGTTAAGATGGAAACATGACTCCAATATGGACTCTCACTTGATACCTTTGCAGTTTTGAACAAATTGCCTAAGTTTTTTGGTCCTCAATTTTAATATCTATTACAGTGGGAATTTTTATTTTAATGATCTCTGTGTCATTTTTATAACAGGAGTGTTTGAATTCCAAGGGTGTACAGTTTAAGATTCTTATAAGGAAAAAAAATATATATATATATATACACACACACACACAATATCTTTGTAGGGAATGAAAAATACATGCCATGGGGAAAAGTTAGTTTACAGGAATTAAAAAAAAAAAAAAAAAAAAAAAAAAAAAAAAAAGGCCAAACGGTTTATCCCTGTTTTCACAACTGTGAAGAATTTTAATCAAAATGATACTGATTACCCATTTTCTATGTGGAGTTAAATTTATTTCAGCACTAATCAATTGGGCGTCTACTATGTCAGAGGTGCTGTGAGGTGGTTATAGAATGAATGGCCAGTGTCTCAGAGATAGTTTAGTGGGTACAGATAAGACAAGTATTAAAACTAAGAAACAATATAAGTGTCATAAAAAGAATAAAAACAAAAGGGCTGGGTGGGAAAGGGAGTGTCAAATGAGGGAGAGAATACAAAAAGGACCAAGGACCAAGGACAATTTCATAGAAGACCAAATCTGAGCAAAAACATAGGTATTATTCCATATTGAAAAGTCCAGTTTCTCTCAGGTTGGTCTCCCATTCCCCACAGCACCTCTTACCATTTTTTGCAACTCCCCTCAAGTCTCAACCTCATAGTCACTGCCGCGGAACCCCTCAACCCTGAGCCCAACAAAAGATCTCACCATAGCCTTTAACTTCCTCCCCTTCTTTCCCTATCCGTACAAAATCTGTCTCTAACTGTCCATATTCACACACACTTGTTTTCCTCCACCACAGAGGAAGTGCTAGGTGTTGCTTAATGCTTAGCCTTCTACTTGTGCTGTAGATCTGTTTTTCCCACTCTGGGATTTATAGACCATTAACATTTCTAACAGTTTAGGAACTGACACAGACAGGGCTGCTAACTTTTTAATGTTGATGAATAACAGTATACATTTTCAAAGTCCTCCCATTTCTTATCACCTGGATTTCCTTTTTAAAACATGCACTTTCAACACTAAAGAACTAAGTTTTTATTAACTGTGCTGTTTATTTGCATTTCCCCGTGGAACAGTGAAGCTATCACAGTCTTGGTACTCTTGGGATTCTGCTCTGAAATGGATCCTCTCCATCCCCTCAGGGCCCACCCTATGGGTTACTCTGTCTTCAATATTTTCAATCTCTTCTTTACCGGAGATTAACTTCTCTTTCTTCTCTCTAAATCTAAAAATGGTTTATATCTAAGACTACTTCCTCATTTCACTTTCTACTCATTTAAAAGGTAATAAGCATTCGTTTTAACAATTCAGACAACACAGAAGTATAACAGTATATTCAGAAGCAAATAAAGAAAAGGATAGTTTTCCTCTCCCCATCCCAATCCTAGATAAAATGAGTGTTAAAAGATTAATGATTTGGGGCACCTGGATGACTCTTAGTTTTGGCTCAGGTCATGATCTCATGGTTCAGTTCATGGGATCAAGCCCCACATGGGGCTCTGCTCTGACACCGTGGAGCCTGCTTGGGATTCTTTCTCTCCCTCTCTCTGCCCTAGCCCCGCATTTTCTCTCACAAAATAAATAAACTTAAAAATATTGTTTCCCTCCATACTTTTCCCAATGGTTATAGAAACACATATAAATAGAAGTTTTGATTTTAATAAATAATGAATCAACATTTTTCTGCACCTTTTTCTTACTGAAGAGTTTATCATGGACACTCTGATCTATCTCATTCTTTTAACTAGCTGCACAATAAACAATGTGCCATAATTTTTTAAGCTATTCCTTTATTAGTAGGTAATGTAGATTTGTCCAGATTTTGTACCATTATAAAC